CAGAACCGAAGCCCTCCTTGCTGCTGCACGAAGGGCCTGGAACGAGGCGTGCTCAGCCTGGAAAGAGTCAGGCACACGTTTAAGTGGCATGCTCTCACAAGAGGCACCACAACGGCCCAGGTCCCATCAGCTCGGCCGTTACCCCGTACGCTGGCAGTCTCCCAGCCCTGCTTGAGGCACTGGCTGAGAACCTCGGTCTCTCCGCACGGGCTGAGGCGCACCAAATCCTGGGCAATAGAGAAGCTACTGGGTTGGATTTTACAGATATCAAGGCAGATCCCAACCGGATCCCACATCAGCTGAAACACCCCTGTGAAGCAGTTCTGCTCCTCCTGCAGCTCGGGTATCGGGCACATTTCCCAAGGGATGGATACAAGAGATTTCCCTCTCTCCAGGCAGCACTTGTAGACTAGGAAGAGCCAGAGAGCTCAGGGGAAGGTTTGCCCTCAACGTTATCCTACCGCGGATGCAGAACCCGCAGGTATCACGTGCGGCGCTCTCTGTGAAGATAAAAGAAGCGTTAAAGCAACAGCCCAGCTGAACCTCCTACCAAACTACGGAATAAAAGTACACCGGAGCCAAAAAGCCTAGAGCAGAGGTGCTGCCTGCCCTTACTACGGGGCATCACAGGGGTTTTGCTCACTGAAAAGTTCCAGTCTTTCCAGAGATGTCCAATAAAACCCAGTACCAACTTTGGAAAGAGTAAAACCCACCAGTGAGCAGCAGACAGCAGCAGTGCCACCACAACTCGAGAGAGAGGATGGGTCTGGGCCCTGGTGGGAAGCAGTGGCTCGCACTCCCGGTCCACGAGCCCCTAACCCCACAAGAGCACACCCGTTTCGGTGTCAAACCGCCCACCCTCACCCAGGGCAAGTAAAAATTTGGTCTTCCAGGAAGGTGTTTGTTGCATTTAAGCCTAAGCCATAAGAAGCATCAAAAAAACTCACTTCCCAGCGTCCTCACCTCTCCCAGCGCTCAGCTGAGACCGGACGGTGTCCCACAGCTCGGGCAGCGCTGGACCGTGCTCCTTCCTACGGGGACACGGCATTGCTTTGTCTGCTGGCGCGATTTTAGGCAGTAAAACGCC